ATGGTCCAGACCAAAGTCAGAAGAATTCAAGCCCATTCTAGTATTCTACCTAGGAGGCTGGAGTCCAATGAACTGCTCCATCATCTGCTGTTTTCCCTGGGACATCATTAAGGATCTGGATCAAAATTGGAACAGCTGGGGTCCGGCACGATAGCATAGTGGTTAAGGTCCTTGCCTTACATGCAGCCAGGAGCCCATATGGGCACCGGTTCTAATCTCAGCAGCTCTGCTTCCCATCCAGCTCCTTGCTTGTGGCCTTGGAAAGTAGTAGAGTGGCCCAAAGCCTTGGTTCCCTGTACCTGTGTGTGAGACACAGCAGACCTCCTGGCTTTGGATGGGCTCAGCTCCAGCTGTTGAAGTCACTTAGGGAGTGAGTCATCGAATGGAAGAATTTACTCTCTGTCTCTCCTCTTCTCTGTATATCTGACTTTACAATAAAAATAAATCAATTTTAAAATAAAAAGAAGTGGAACAGCTGGCAGTGGTGTTCTGGTATGGGATGCCAGCAACGCAACTTAATTTGCTGCACATCATCAGCTCCTAGGGCTTGAATTTCTAACAAAAAAATAAAAGTAAGTATTGATTTCTACTTGCTCTGGAGGCCTAGAATTAGGGATTCATTTAGATATTCTCAAAATACTTAAACTTTCCTGTTTGTCACTCACAACTACATGATTTTCTTAGTAAAGGGATTCACCAAGAGTTGGCACTCAAGCCAACAATGTCAAAACCTGGGAGCTTGTCGCCTGAGACACTCTGAATCAAAATTCCTGAGTGTGAGGTACAGGTACTGGTGTTTCACATGCCCACTAATGTTGGCAAAAACAAGATCTGTACAAAACAAAGCAAAGCAAAAAAAACCCACATCTTGCCAAGTCATTCCACCTTTGTGTATAAACTTCAGTGGCTCCAAATCCCAGGTGATGAAAGATGGATGAAATCAATTAATGTCATCATTCAGTTCAGCTTTCCAATATAAAAGATGTTGAAAGAAAACCAGATAAACAACCAATTCTGTTTTCCAGGGAAGCATGCTTTTAAACATCTGTGTGACTAAAAGTAAGGAACTTCCAGAAGCCACTTGATAACTCCCTGTGCAGGAAATATATCTGTGGTGAGTTTTCCAGCCTCAAATAAAGACGGAGATGTTTTATGAAAAACTGATAGCACCATTCGTTCTTCAGATTGAGATCATAAAAGCAAGTTTATGGTTCTAATGAGTAAGGCAGTTCATTTTCCAGAAAAATGAGTGAATAAATAAAAGTCTATATTTTGAATTCATATAAAAGTGCTACAATAATGACCCACTTCAGGAAAATGAGGGAATTGAGAACAGTTGATGTGTCGTGAGTTTATATAAATAAAAACTCAATAACACATTTTTTACTAGTATAGAATAGAATGGAGAACAATATCTTTCATGAATTGTGGCTGTCTTATTTCGTGTCTTTCAGTAATATTGGTAGGTGTTAGATGTAAGACAGTGGTAGGAATTACAAAGGCCAATGATTCAGGGCTCAGATCTCGATTCTGCTAGCTAAGTATTCTGAGCTTAGATTTTTTTTCCTAAAAACAAACAAAAAAAAACAAACAAAATATCAGAGCTTAATATATTTACCTCCTAAGAGAAACAGTTATTCATGTGATTTAAAGAGAGTTTTAATGTCAATTAATAAATTTCAGGATATTCTGATTGTATTAAACAGGTGATTCAAATTCACATGTGAGGAGTGAAGAGACCTTCAAATGTGGCAATTAAAAAAAATTTAAATGATTAGTTACTTTGACATCCTTTTTAAAATAACATTCTTAATTCAATAATCTCTGTAAGATAGTAAATAAAAATGTAATTCAGCAAACAAGTAAGTAAAGTAGATATGGAGAGTTAGGATGCCAGTTTCACTGAATTTTTTGTTTGATAGTCATATTATAAAGACAGGAAGAGAGACAGAGAGGAAGATCTTCCATAAATTGATTTACTCCCCAAATGGCTGCAATGGCCAGAGACGCGCCAATCCTAAACCAGGAGCCTGTTCAAGGTCTCCTGTACCGGTGCAGGGTCCCAAGATTTTGGGATGTCCTCAACTGTTTTTCCAAGCCACAAGCCGGGAGCTGGATGGGAAGTGAGGCTGCTGGGACATTAAGCAAAGCAGACACTGCCGGGCTCACCAGTTTCCCTCTTCACAGAAGTGAGAGGCACAGAGTGGCCTTAGACACTATAAAAGAAGCATGTGAGGGTGGCTATTCAATCACTAGCTGAAGCCACTCTAACAAAGAGAGATGCTTTATTGGTCTCAAAGTCAGTCAAGATTCTGCCAGAGGTCAGATAACGAAGAGACAAAGAAGTATGGTGATATTTCACTCAGGCTTATTACCATAAAGTTTAAAGGGACTGTTTGATATGGCAGATTTAAAGTTCATCTTAGAACTATCAGATTGAATGAAAACATGCAAGAACATGAAGCTACAAGACCTTGAATCATCTTCTGCACCTTCCTGGGCCATTAGCAAGGTACTAAATTGGAAGTGGATCTGTCAGAACTCGAATCAGCAACCATGTGAGATGCTAGCTCTACACACAAGAGACTAATGTGATAAGCCAACAATCCAGCTCCTAGATTTTCTCTTACATTATACATTGGATATGGATAGTTTATTTTCAGATTTAAAATTACTTCATTTCAATCACTGTCTTTCTCTTCTTTGATTATACTGAACAACCAAAATGACTCAGTGTCTTCAACTGAAAACACATGATAAGAGAAGTTAAAATGAAGATTCAGAGAAAGCCGTTAAACACCAGAATATTCTTAATACCATCCGTCTAAACCCTGCATCCGAAAATGACATCTAAGTAAATAATCCCTTTGCAAAAGGGTTTTCTCATCATTATAATGAAGTGCCCATCCAACAAAATGTTAATTGGAAGAATAATAATGTTACTGAGTTTGGCCTTTGGCTCCACAGCTTCAGAGGGTGTGCCTGCAACAGCACAGCACTTTTCTGATAGCAGCATTTGTTGTTACCTTGCCCAACAAACCAGCCCTTCATCTCACTTTCCAATAGTATCTTTCCTCCAAAACAAAGCAATGTGCTGCTGAAATGCAACTCCTCCAATTTCCAACACCCTTAATCCAGAGCCCATCACTGCCTTTCTCTTCATCACAACAACAGGTTTTCCTGTTGAAAACATGGAGTTAGATGTTTTCCCAGGCAGTAAATACAACTCTATTTTCCTGACAAAGCCAGTTTCTTGAAAATATTCTTACTGCTTGTGACGACTGTGAGCTCCTTGAGCATAAGAAATGCAGAGTTTCCTCTTTGGCCCCTTGCTCCCCAGCATTAAGAACACACCCATTAGATACTATAAGCTAAGAATTAGTTGCTGATGATGAATAAATATTTAATTTAATATTTCTGGATTACATTTCTCATATGCTTCTGTCTTTCAGTCATCACCTCGATTTCATCTTCAGAGTGACTATGACAAATGTGACCACGATGGATGGATTCCTCCTCGTGGGGTTTTCTGACGATCAGGAGCTGCAGATCTGCTATGCTCTGCTCTTCTTGGGGATCTATCTATTGGCCCTGATGGGTAACTTCACTATTATCATCATCACGATCCTAGACCAGAGTCTCCAATCCCCAATGTATTACTTCTTGAGGCACCTGTCCCTTCTGGACCTTTCCTTTATTTCTGTCACAGTTCCCCAGTCCATTGACAACTCACTGACACACAATGGCTACGTTTCATATGGTCAGTGTGTGCTTCAGATTTTCTTCTTCACATCTTTCGCCTGGATTGAAATGGCCATTCTCACAGTGATGTCTTATGACCGCTACGCAGCAATCTGCCTGCCACTACGTTATGAGATCATCATGTGTCCTACAAGCTGTAAGTGGATTGTGATAGCTGCATGGCTAAGTGGAAGCATCTCTGGAACTTTGTACACAGCCGCTACATTTTCCATTACATTCTGTCGAGCCAAAATTATTCACCAGTTCTTCTGTGATGTCCCTCAGTTGGCAAAGCTCTCCTGCGCCCATGATTATTTTAGGGTGATTGGAGCATCTGCTTGCATGGCTGTGATGGCATTTATCTGCTTCGTCTTTATTATAGTCTCCTATATTCACATTTTCTCCACTGTTCTAAGAATACGCTCTGCTGAGGGCCAGTCAAAGGTCTTCTCTACCTGCCTGCCCCACCTCTTTGTAGTCTCTTTCTATCTTTCCACAGGAAGCTTTGCATATCTAAAACCAACTTCAGATTCTCCAACTGCTTCTGACCTTGTGGTATCTGTCTTTTACACAGTAATACCCCCAGTGCTCAATCCTGTTATCTACAGTCTGAGGAATGAGGCCCTAAAGGGAGCTGTACGAAAGTTACTATTGCAAGGAGTCTTTACAAGGAGAAAGGCATTTTTCTCCTATTGTTGATGGCTGTCCAATTTTATCCACCCACAATTTTTCAAAATTTTACAATGCAGTTTCATAGAGCCTAGAATTTCCCTTCTACTCTTCCTAAGTCTTCTCACCCGCATTTGTTCCCCATATTATTACAGTAGTATAGTCCTATAAGCAGTCGTAAGTCTGTCATTCTGCTCCTTAAATGTATCTTGACATTGCAGGTATGGCCAATGGCAGATTCTATCAACCTATAGTCAAGATATAGTGAACAATTTCATTGAAGTCCATCTTTGATTTTGAAGTAGAGAGGCACACTGCATTTTATTTTCACATCTGGACATGACAGTCCCTATTACACAGTTATTATACATCCTGTTACATGGAAAAGTATTAAGCAAAATCAGCAATGAGGAAAAAAATAGGAAACATACAATAATCTGAAGTTATATAATGATTGATGTATTGCTGAAGAAATGAAAAAGAAAATCAAAAACCTTCTTGAAGCAAGCAATGCTACTTACTTTATGACCTATGAGTCAGTGAAGAAATTAATAACAAAAAACTTTTTTGAAGAAATAAAAATAAAAACAAAAAATATAGAATGCTTCACAAATTTGTGTGTCATCCTTGCTCAGAGGCCATTATAATCTCCTCTGTATCATTCCAATTTTAGTATATATGCTGCCAAAGCAAGCACCAAGAATTCTTTTAATCATTTGTTTTCTTCAAAATGTAATGTTCATAAAATAGTCAACAGCTGTTTTGTTAGATACATCAAATAATCATTTTTCTGTTAGAAACACTCTATCTTATTTTTTCACTTATTTAGTCTGTAGAACCATGTTCATGTTACTTCAAATTGAAACAAATAGTCATAATCTTGTAATACAGGCTTACTGCTTCCTTTTATTTTCTAATAAACATACATTGCCCACATATACACATACAGAGTCATCAGCAATCATAGCACATGTTATAAAAATAACTGCACAGAAAATAATTTAACAATAACAGGAATAAAATTGAATAAATCATCTATAGTTGTACCTACCATCAACTATTTTTTCAATTCTTTTAGTTTTTATATTTATATATACCTTTTACAATATTTCTTTTTTTAATATTCATTTTATTTATATTGGAAAGGCAGATATACAGAGAGGAGAGACAGAGAGGAAGATCTCCCGTCTGATGATTCACTCCCCAAGTGAGTGCAACGGTCGATACTATGCCGGTCCGAAGCCAGGAGACTCTTCTGGGTCTCCCACGCGGGTGCAGGGTCCCAAAGCTTTGGGCCGTCCTCGACTGCTTTCCCGGCCCACAGGCAGGGAGCTGGAAGGGAAGCGGGGCTGCCGGGATCAGAACCAGTGCCCATATGGGATCCCGGGCGTGCAAGGCAAGGACCTAACCACTGCGCCATCGCGCCGGGCCTCTTTTACAATATTTCTACAAATTTGTATGCCATTACTTTGTATACTTAAATAGTTTTAATATTATAATTTTCTGAAAGTACTCTGTTGAATAGAATTCCTAGAAAATACTTTTAATAGAGCCAGCTCTGTGACATAGTGGGATAAGCTATCCATGGGCTCATATTCAAATCCTGACTGCTCCACTTCCCATCCAGCTAATGCACATGGACAATCATCAGAGGGCCCGGTACCATAGCGTAATGGTTAGGGTCCTCGCTTTGAATACACCAGGATCCCCTATGGGCGCTGGTTCTTATCCCGACTGCTCCACTTCCTGGCCAGCTCCCTGCTTGTGACCTGGGTAAGCAGTCGTTGATGGCCCAAAGCCTTGGGTCCCTGCAGCCACGTGGGAGACCTGGAAAGAAGTTCCTGGCTCCTGGCTTTGGAACGGTGCAGCACCGGCAGTTGCAGTCACTTAGGGAGTGAATCAATGGTCAGAAGATCTTCTTCTGGTCTCCTCTCCTCTCTGTACATCTGCTTTTCCAATAAAATAAATAAACCTAAAAAAAAAAAAAAAAAACAACAGAAAATGGTTCAAGTACTTGGAATGCTGCACCCATGTTAGAGACAAAAAACAAAACAAAACAAAACAACAACAACAAAACCACAACTCCTGGATCCCAGATTAGGCCTGGCCCAATTTAGTCATTACAGCCATTTAAGGATGGAAGATTTTTCTTTCAGATGGAAGATTTTTCTTTCTCTCTGCCTCTCCTTCTCCTTCCAGGTAACTCTTCCTTTCAAGCAAATAAATAAATTTTAGGGGAGCCAGCCTAATGGCTCAACAGGCTAATTCTCCACCTCACAAGCACTGGCATTCCATATGGATGCCAGTTCTTATTTTGGCTGCTCCACTTCCACTCCAGCTCCCTGCTTGTGGCCTGGGAAGGCAGCAGAGCATGGTTCAGAGACTTAAAAACATGCACCCACATGGGAAATGCAGAAGAAGCTTCTAGATCCTGGCTTCAGATTGGCTCAACTCTGGCAGCTATGGTCATTTGGGGAATGAACGAGTGGATGGAATATCTGTCTCTCCTTCTCTATATAAATACACTTTTCCAATAAAAATAAATACATCTTAAAGAAATAAGTCTTTTTAAAAATGTATTTAGTAATTCATCTGTTTTATGTGAACTATTTCTAATCTTCAATTTCTTTTAAAAAGATTTAATTGTTTTGCTTGCTTATTTATTTATATTTGAAAGGCAGAGTTATAGAGAGAAAAAGGGAGACAAAGAGGGATATTTTATCTGCTGATTCATCCCCAAATGGCTGCAAAAGCCAGGACTGGGTTGGTCAGAAGCTGGGAGACGGGAACTCTTCTGGATCTCCCACACAGGTGCAGGGTCCCAAGGTCTTGGGCTGTCCTCGACTGCCCTCCTAGGGTACAAGCAAGGAGCTGGATGGGAAGTGGAGCTGCCGAGATTAGAACCGGCACCCCTATGGGATCCCAGTGTGTTCAAGGCAAGAACTTTAGCCACTAAGCTACCGCACCAGGCCCCCAAATGTATATATAGAAATAATAAGAAAGAAAAAAATGCCACCAGGTTGAATGAGGTTGCTGCATCTGCTGGTGAAAGTTGGAACTGGGAATGGGCTGGAATGGGCCATCTCAAACGGGGCCGGGAGCAGGCTTGGTAGGAGAACTTCGGGGACTCCCTTGCTAGGCTGCTGCTTCCACTGGTGAGCATGAGATCTGGGACTGGGGCAGTCCAGGTTGTACTGGGCTGCTGCACTGCTAATGCACATAAGAGCCAGAATGGATGTGGGCCAGCTCGGTTAGACTGAATCACCAGCTGGCAAGTGCCACGGCTCAGTGTGAGTCGTGTCAGGCTGGACAGCAGAAACCCCTGGCAGGTACAGGGTCTAGGGCAGGGAGCATGCCTGGCAGAGTGAGCATGAGAACCAGGGCTGGGGGTATGCCAGGATAGATAAGGTGGCATTACCTTGTTGGTATATATTGGGTTGGGTATGGTAGCAGGTTGGCGCTACGCAACATTCATTAAAGGCTTGGAGAGAGAGATGCTCGGGCCAAAGTGGACACCGGCGTAGTGCTGGAGAGCACCACCCTAAGAGGAAAGATGGACTGCAGGGAGTGGCCCCATATCCCCAAGAGCAGGCATCCTAGTTTCCAAGTCTTGAAAGCAGAACCCACCCTACTGTGCCAAACCACCTCCCGTGTAGTACTGAACATTGGAAGACGGTAATGGCATCCCTGTTATCAGTGAGTCTACTTGAGTTATTGAGGCATCAGACCTTCTGTGCTGATGTGATGAAATGTCTCTGAGACCTCATGGATGGGACTACCCCAGCACTGGAGCCTTCAATGAGAGTGAGGATTTTTACAGTGGTCTCTATCTCAAAGTAACATCACACTTCTGTAGCCTGTGCTCCAGAAGCTGGTGGGAGGAGACAATGTGAATTTCTTCTCCGTATCAAATGTCTCTGTATACTCCAGGTAGCTCCCCTTGTTGGGACTCAAATCTAGGATTTCAGTGAATCCTTCTGTGGCTCGATTGCCAATGTCAAGTTCACTGGAGATTGAGTCTAATGGGTCTTCCCTCTGCAATGGGGCTTTGCCCCAGCCATGGAGCCAGGGTCCTGGTTGCCAATGCACATGTTCCCTCTTCTTGTGTTACACCATATCTGTGTGTCTAATGAGATCCTCATGTCTTCTTTGTTAAGTTGCTATGTTCTTCCTTGGGCATTCACCTCAAAACACATTTTCTCATTCCAGTTCTCTGTAGAAAGAAGAGAAACAGTGATAAATCTGCTTGGCCATCTTCAGCTCTCACAGAAGTTTTACTTTATCATGAAAGGGTATAGAATTTTATCAAATAGTTTTTCTGCATTTAATAAAATGACTATGTAGTTTATGATGTGGGAGTATTAGTGAGATAATTCTAGTTTCACGAAGTATCACAGTATCAGGCCTGTACGTGAAATGTCCTCATCCCTACACTAGAGGGTACACACTTGTGAGCAGCTTTTGTAGCCATTTGCTTTCTAGGTGCTTAACCACCAGTATTTGTATGGGCAGTCAGCTTCATCAAAGCCATGTCATAGAGCCCACCCTACTTATCCTTCCCCTCCTTCCACTGAAGCTCACGGAGCTAGAGTGGTGCTGGTGTTAGAAAGTGAAAGCTGTGAACAAAACCAAACATGAATTCTAATAAAAATTTTTAAAGAAGAATTAATACCATAATCCACCTCAAAATTCACCAAAAACAAAACTTGAATAGAGGAATACTTCCCAAGTCGTAACCAAGCTTCTTATGAGAACCAACACCTCAGTCACTTCCTAACCCACCCCCACAATGCTGCAAAGATGCGTCCCCCAGACCCACCTCTCAGACACCATTATTAGCTCAAGTTTCAATCTTTAATCCAGCAATCATTAACATTAAGGACATAAGAGTCTGGGCCACCTGTGTAATGGCTCAGTGGTTGAACCTTGCCTTGCACGTGCTGGGACCCCATATGGGTGCCAGTTCATGTCCCAACTACCCCACTTTCCATCCAGCTCCCTGCTTGTGTTCTGTGAAAGTAGTAGAGGAGAGCCTAATGGCTTGGGACCCGACACCCTTGTGGGAGACCGCATGAAGCTCCTGTCTCCCAGCTTCGGATCTGCTCAGCACTGGCCATTGCAGCCACTTGGGGAGTGAACTAGCAGATGGAGGATCTTTATCTCCTCTCTGTAAGTTTGGCTTTCCAAGAAAAATAAAGTATTTTTTAAAAGACATAAGAGTTTAAGCTTCTTGCATCAATTTTGAGAAGTCTTCAACCCATAAGACATAAGTAATCCTTCCCGCCCATTGTGTGAAGGAGGAAACTGAAATACTGAGAAACTGAGTTATATGCTAAAAGTCACACACTTCATAATTAATGAAACTTGCCCTTAACTGCATGCTTATTTTGAGATCAAAATTTGGGCTCTGTTCTCAGTGGTTTAAATACGAGAAAAATAATTTGTCCTGCACCTCCTCTGATATAAATAAGTATGTATAGGAAATTTGTGTTTTCTTTAAAATTAGGCAGTACAGAATATGTGTGAAGAATTAAGATATATTGATCACAGGTGCTGCTAGTTCTCCTATACTCATTTCCAGGACACAGCACATAACAAGTATTAAGTGTCAAAACTTTTAGTATGTTGATCAAATACGTGTGAATGTTCCTTTGGAGAGTAGCTGTGAACCAGAAGTCAGAACAATAAATACATGAA